CCCGCATGTGGAAATGAGATCACCTTGGAGGGTCATTCAGGGGGCCTGCACAGCTAGCCATCTGGACATGCTGTCTGACATTTTGAGTCACTGCTGACCCACTCTCTGTGAGTTTAGACTGTTCATTTCTTCTCTTGTGGTAGGAATGGACCTGCATTGGATTATTCTCAGAGTCCCCCCACCCCATGGTCACTGGGTTTGGTCTGGAAAAGTGCTGACCGGGTTAGGTATGGTCTGAGGTTATGGAATAGAAAGATGACGGTGGACCCACCAAGGAGTCAGACATCTGCCTTTGACCAGCCAGCTGAGTCATCACACCCTTTTAGGGGCTGAAACAATCCCTAGAATTAAGATCATGGACCCCATACCAATTTTCACTCATTAATTAAAATTTCTTCATGAGTAAGCACTCAGATGAATGGCCCCACAGAGTTGGAGGCAATCTAGTCCATGGTTTGTCCATGTGAACCATAAAACAAAGAATGTGGGTCACTCAGAGGCTGTACCTAGCTTTTTTTTTTTTTGGCAGGATTTTGTATGGTGGTAAGTTTTCTTTTTTGTTATTTTTTTTTAATTGAATTTATTGGGGTGTCATTGGTTAATAAGATGATATAGGTTTCAAGTGTACCTTTCTGTGATGCATGCTCTGCATATTGCATTGTGTGCCCACCACCCGAAGTCAAATCATCTTCGATCACCATACATTTGACCCCTTTACCTTTACTGCCCCTACCCCCTTCCCTCTGGTCCCAACCATTACTGTTGTCTGTGTCTATGAGTTTTTGTTTGTTTTTCTTGTTTGTTCATTTGTTACTTTGAGTTTTATATCCACATATGAGTGAAATCATACTGTTATTAGCTTTTTCTGTCTGACTTATTGCACTTAGCATGATATTCTCAAATTAATGGCAGTGTTTCATCCTTTCTCATGGCTGCGTGGTGTTCCACTGTGTACATGCACCACCCCTTCTTTATCAGTCCTCTCTTGCAGGACACTTCAGTTGCTTCCATGTCTTGGCCACCGTGAATAATGCTGCAATGGACATAGGGGTGCATATAGCTTTGCAAATAAATGTTTTTACATTGTTTTTGAATATAACTTGTCATAGACTCTCTCGACCCCTTCAGCAAATGTTCTGATCCATCTAAATCTGCTTTATGTATAGGGTCCTCTGGCTCTGCCAACATTTTCAGAAACCTGGAGCTGGTTCTGAGATAGAAATGACAGTACATGGCATGTGATAAATTGTTCCCCTTCTCTTGTGCCCCAGACAGGATTTACCCCCCTCCACATCGCAGCTCACTATGAGAACCTCAATGTGGCCCAGTTACTCCTCAACAGGGGAGCCAGTGTCAACTTCACACCACAGGTGAGGCTCCCTGGCGGGCCAGGGGCTTGGGGTGTCTAGACTCTAGGTGCTCCCGCCTCTCCTAAGGCAGCATGAATTCCCTGTACTGCAGAAGTGCCTGTGGGTGAGGCAGCCCTGGGGTCTATGACAGCTCCTCGTTGGTGGGTTCTCATCACATGCTCCCGGTCTCCATCTGCCCCTTTTAGAGGGGGGAAACGGGGGGCCGGGGCTGGCTTACTTCCAGCCCAGTGCGCTGACTCTGGGAGACCTGGGCTTGGCCCAGCATGGCTATGATTAACCACAGTGCTACAGGTTTTGAAATCTGTCTTAGGCGAGAAATGCCCTAAGCAGTAGGCGTAAAGGCTGTTAGTACTGCTGTGGTTGCAGGGCGCGGGCAGGGAGCAGAGGGGAGTGGGTGCAGAGCAGCTGCTTTCCAGAGGAGGACTCCCAGCCTGACTGGTCTCATTCCTCCCCTCCAGAACGGCATCACGCCGCTGCACATCGCCTCCCGCAGGGGGAACGTGATCATGGTGCGGCTCCTGCTGGACCGAGGGGCCCAGATAGAAACAAGGACCAAGGTGGGTGCCAGTGAGCTCCGTGGCAGGGCCAGGGGAGGGAGATCTGCCTTCCAGAGTCTAACCCGGAGTGGTGGGCTCCTGGCAACCTGCCTGTGATGGGCCTGCAGCTTCCTGGAGCAGCCCACAGCGGGAGCCGGGGGAAGGGGCTGCAGGAGACAATAACAAGACAGTGATGGAGTCAAACTAATCCTTCAGGAAGCATTGTGCTTTTGCAGCTGGAAGGACACTGGGGGCAGCCTTTTCTCTAACAGCCTCTGATAGGCGCCTTTGGGGCTTTCTCTTTGTGACTCTGTTTTTTAAAGGATGAATTGACACCTCTCCACTGTGCAGCTCGGAATGGGCATGTGCGAATCTCAGAGATCCTGCTGGACCACGGGGCACCCATCCAAGCCAAAACCAAGGTGCGTGCTTCCTTTCCGTGAAGAGCATCTTTTAGGCAGGGCTGCAGGCCAGGACAACCTGGTAGCAAATCCTATTTCTGAGAAACAGGAATTCTAATACTACTATCTGAGTCAGTGTGTGTGAATTGCCTGTCACATAGGAGGCACTCTGTATAGCCCTAATTATTATCTAGATCAGGGCTAGCAAGATTTCCTCTAAGGGCCAGAGAGTAAGTATTTTTAGGCTTTGCAGGCCATGATCTCTGTCTCAATGATTCAGCTCCCCCATTGTAGCAGTAAAATGACCATGGATAATATGCAAACTAGTGGCCGTGTTCCAATAAAACTTTATTTACAAACATAGACAGCAGGTCAGATTTGACGTGTGGGCCTGTCATTGCTCATAGGTTTAGATCAACCAACCCATGTCTATCTCATCCTGACTCCACAGAAGAGAGGAGCTAAGCACTTGGATAAGTCTTCAGAGCCTGGGCCAGACTGGAATAAAGTTAAAAAGAAAACAAAGCAGTTATTTTCAATGTCCATTAGGGACCCGAGCCAAAGCCCATCCTTCAGTTCTCATATCAGGTATTGAGTCTTCCTGGGACTAAAGCTGTCAGACCATCCAGTGCTGCCTACACCTCCTGCAGGTCCTTTTCCCCATTCTTTGGGGTGAATTTAAAGGATGTGAATTTAGACTAGCAAGGCAGAAACCAGGCCCATTCATGGCCACTCTGGAGGTTTTCTGTAAGAAGTTCTTTGTCATAAAATTGTAGCGTAATTCATAACCTTGAAAGCCAACTTATTCCCTGACAAATTACCGTGTGAGTATTCTACAGAGCTCTCTGTAATTTGGGTCATGATTCATAGCACCAAGCAGCCGTGTGTGTGTGTGTGTGTGTGTGTGTGTGTGTTGAAGGTATTCTCTACTAAACAAGTTCATATCTCATTTAATCCTCTGTCCACGGCTGATTTCCTGTGTGCCTTTGGGAATGTCTCTTACTTTCTCTGCCTCTGTGCCCTCGTCTGGAGAGCTCCACGCCTCTCTCCCAGGGTTGTTGGGATGATTACATGAGATAATATCTTTGAAAGTACCTGTAAAAGCAAAAATCCTCAGATAAGTGAAGGTATAAGTGCTTCTACCACTTATATTATTAAGTCAAGAAATTCTCAACATGTTTCCACAGAGGCCTTGTATTTAAATTTATAAAAAATGTCCTGAGTTAGTAATGGTTTTATATTATCCAGATTATTAGAATGGGGCTAAAAAGGATGGTTATGAAAATTCTTTACTGAGAACTTCCTCTTTCCAGTTGGGAAATATGGTATGACCTGTTTAAAATGCAGTGGAATGAACTGTGTTGGTTACTAAGGCTCCTGTAACAAAGTGCCACACAGTGGGGGTGGGGGGCAAGGGTTTAAACAACAGGTTATTATCTTACAGTCTGAAGGCTGGAAATGTGAGCTCAGTGTCATTAGGGTTGATTTCTTCTGAGGTTGTGGGGAGAATCTGTTCCTGCCCCCCACTCCCCACCCACTGCCAATGTCTGTGGTTTGCTGGGAATCCCTGGCTTGTAAAAGCATCACCCAGATCTCTTCCTCATCTTCACGTGGCGTTCTCCCTCTGTGTGCATCTCTGTCCAAATTTCTCCTTTTAAAAGGACAACAGTCATATTGGAATAGACCCCACACTAATGACCTCATCTTAACTAACTACATCTGCAATGACTCTATTTCCAACTAAAGTCACATTCCAAGGTCCTGGAGGTTAGGACTTCAATATATGCATTTTGAGGGATCACAGTTCAACCCATAACACTAATATCAGCTGTCGTGCAGCCTGATTGTGTTTTCCCTTGCTGAAAATCCTTTTTCAATCGTCACTTTCTAAAAACCAGAGCCCCTGCCTGCCACTCCAGCCCAGCTCCATGCCCCCATCACTCTTGGACCTCCTGCATGTTTAACTGCGTACAGGTCCCCAAGTTCCCCTAGTGTGGCTGTCTCTGGTGCTGCATACCCTGTTCCCTTTGCTGGGAGATTCTTCCCCTTTTGTGTTCCTGGTGCAGTCCTAGCTCAAGGAGCACCTCCTCCTGGATGCCTCCTCTCCCTGTGTTTCTTTCCTCATTCTGAATCCACCCTCCTGTGTACCTCTGTGTTTTGCTCATGCTTTCCTTGATGTCAACATACTGAGTAGCAACTATGTCTTTCACCTGCTCGTGTACCAGCTTCTTTAGTTCAGGGATTATATCTGTTTTCGTCTGTTTCCCCAGGGCTTTACCCATACCTTGTGTACATTAATCATTTAATAAACCTTTTTTGAATTAATGTCTGAATGAATGAATGAGTCTCATCTGTCTTTAATTTTTTTAAATAAATTGCTATCTAAGAAACAGTGAGAATCCTTAACAAAAATTTCAAGTGATGTATGTTTGTTAGGAGCAAAGAACAGAGGGAGTTAGATCCAAGTTCCATTTTATCACCATTCCTTTATTCAAAACCACATTAAGGACCACATTGTGTGTGTCACATGCATGCGCAGGGCACTGTGGGCATATAAGGGATATTAGGCATGGTCACTGATCTTAAGAAGCTATGAGTAAGGAGAGAAGATACCCCTGAAAAGTTAATTATGAATACAATTCAGCAAATATGTGAATAAAGTCCAAGTGAGTGGTGCAGATAAGAGAAGCCCGCGGTGTCCAGGGTGGTCAGGGAAGAGGTGGCCCTGGCTGGAGCTGGCGTGGAGCTTTGGGCTAGGTGGAGAGGAAGAGTGTGGTCAGAGACCAGCATGAACTTGGGAGCCACACAAAACATCATGCAGGGAAAGAAGCAGGTAGTGAGGTTGGAGTCAGTGACCTGAATTGCCCTGTTCTGTCCCCAAGAGCCTTTGTGATTACCTGTTTTTCTTCCTTTCCACCCAGAATGGCTTGTCCCCAATTCACATGGCGGCTCAGGGAGACCACCTTGACTGTGTCCGACTTCTATTGCAATACAACGCAGAGATAGACGACATCACCCTGGATCACCTGACCCCACTCCACGTAGCAGCCCACTGTGGCCATCACAGAGTGGCCAAGGTCCTCTTGGATAAAGGGGCCAAACCAAACTCCAGAGCCCTGGTGAGTGGGAGGCTATTGGAGAAGGTGCCAGAGGGGCAAGGGCCGAGGGAGGCAAGACTAGAACTGCACGCTGAGCCTCGTGGGAGGGGCACCGGCTGGCACCTGGAGATTTAGGACCTGGGAGGTGTCAGTGTGTGTGAAGGCTTGTGGCATGGCAGTGCGCAGGCAGGACAGTGACCCCCTAATGACTGCTGCCCTCGGTAACAGGCTGAGATCAGGGGAGTGTTTGGTGAGCTAGGCCCAGAGCCGAAGGACAGTGATTTCCTAGAGACTGCCTGGCTTTTTTTAATCTGCTTTGTGGGTGAGTGAAATGGCCTGAGCTAAGCATCCTTCCTCTGCAGAGGGGCTTACAGTGTTCGTGCTGCTCATGCAGAGGTGAGTTTAGGCCTAAAGCTAATCCTCTCCTGGGTGGTTCAGGGACCTGGTGGAGCCAACGCTCTGTATAGAGCCTCTCCCCTCTGCCCATTCCTAGGGGAAGATAATTTAGAAGGCAGGATAGCCTCCAGAGACTGCAGGATGGCTCATTCCTCCATTCAGGAAGCTCTCACCACATGCCAGGCAGTGTTCTAGGAGTGTTTCAACCTCAGCACTGTTGACATTTTGAGCCTGATATTTTTGTTGCAACAGGGCTGGCCTGTGCACTATAGGATATGTAGCAGCATCCCTGGCCTCTATCTGTTCAGTGCTAATAGCATTTCTCCTCGAATTATGACAATCAAAAATTTCTCCAGACATTGCCAAATGTCTCCAAGATGGGGATGGGAGGGAACCCCCCCCACGCCACGCTTTGAGAACTACTGCTCTATGGAGATAAAGCACTGGAAAGAACAAGCAAACAGATAAAAACAAGCAAACAAATATCCCTGCCCTTGTGGACTTTACATTTTAGCATATCACTTGAGAGCAGAGCTGCTGTACAGAAATCCATTTTACTAAAAATGGTCGTTAGTCTCTGGGAAGAGGGAACATGATTTGCTTCACAAACGTACTCTTTATTGTAAATTTCCCCTTGAGGAAACTTTAAACAGCAGGCTCTTTTAGTGCATCCAAAAATATGATTAAATTTTTAAAAAAGGTTTATAGACGACATGCTCAGGAACGTGCCTGGTGCACAAAGTGAGAGCCACCTGCCTCTTTAGTGATTTGTAGTAATTGACGTTCCAGTCTGTGGGAAATCACTGACAGGCTGTGGCAGAGGCTGCGTTTTAATCAGCAAGGCAGTCTGGGTGCTCCTTGGGCTAGTGTGTAAGTGCCTGCTTGTCTGTCTCCCTTTGTGTGGGGCTGCAGAATGGCTTCACCCCCTTACACATCGCCTGCAAGAAGAACCATATCCGTGTCATGGAGCTGCTGCTGAAGACAGGAGCCTCCATCGACGCTGTCACCGAGGTAGGAGAAACTCTGCAGGTGAGCGGGTGGCTTCCCCCGGTGGTCTTCCTCCAGTAGCCTCCTGGAGAGTTGTTCTTTGTAGCTACGTGTGGCTGCAGGAGTGCACACGTGCATGCAAGTCTAGACTGCTCCAAGGAATAAATTCGGGGTGACTGAGACAAGGGGACATGTGTCAAATCTAAGGGAGCTTTCCAAGATCACTCGCAATTTTTTGAGTTGTAAAAGTGGGCAGACGCACCCTATAGTGACTTTTTCCCTCCAGCCATTTTCATGGAAATGAACTCATCTTATTTAACTCCCTTTTCTTGGAAAACTAGTCTGGAGCAGCCTTAGCAACATCTGGCTATCTCTTCTTTGGAGGAGTGGGAAAGTCTCCTCTCTTCTCACTCCTCTTTTGTCTGTTCCAGTCTGGCCTGACACCTCTCCACGTGGCCTCCTTCATGGGGCACCTGCCCATTGTGAAGAACCTCCTGCAGCGGGGGGCATCACCCAATGTCTCCAATGTGGTAAGCCTGTGGGGACAGCAAGGGCTCTTTTCTCAGCACCAAGAGCTCAGAGGGGAGCTTTAGCCAGTGATTCCTAGATCTCCTCTCCAGGGATAGAGGTAGAATTCTCAGAATAGCAGAGGCTTCCGACTTGGGGAGGACATCCATATACACTGACGTTTTCCCAATTAAACTTGTCACACATCTGTAAGTCTCGGGGTTGGGGGAGTATTTTGGACAATAATTTGGGAACTTCTATAAGTGTTATCTGGGAATACATTTGCGTTTTTAAACATTCATGAGCTCTGGGGTTTACTTGTAGGTATACTTAGAATTCACACACACACACACGCACACACCACGCATCAGCAGGCTGAAAGCTGAAGGAGCTGCTTGCTGGGGCAACTCCACCTCTTGGACGAAAAGCTGCCAAGTTTCTTCAGACTCACACTTTGGAGCTCTGCATGTGTCCTTTTGGAAACCCAGCATGTATTAACACATCTATAATTTTGTTATTTTACAGAAAGTGGAGACCCCGCTACACATGGCAGCCAGGGCAGGGCACACGGAAGTCGCCAAATATTTGCTCCAGAACAAAGCCAAAGTCAATGCCAAGGCCAAGGTGCGTTTTGGAGGTGGGAAGAACCCTGGGATGCAAGCAGTTCAAGCTCAATGCGGAGAAATCCATCCTAATTAGAGGCCTGGCTGCAGATGACAAAGATTCCTTGTCATCGCCACATCCGTTGCACTAAATAAACACTCAGGTTCTGCCTTGCAAGGGTTCTGACGAAGCCAGAGATGTTTTTGCATCAGAACTATGTTTCTTTAGGATAATGAACATCCAAGGAGCGTGGCCAGCCTGCAATGATTATTGGGCTGAAAGGGCTTCAGGGTGGTTACAGTTATGGTATAAGAAGAGAAGCAACTTGTTAAAGAAAGTGTTGCTAGTGAAAATCAGTCAGGAATGACTTGATCTAAAAACGGATGCTTCCCCTTGTTGTAAAAGGCATTTTCGAGGCGTTGGGTAAGTGAAGAGTGAGACTAGCTGCTGAGTTTAGCAAGCTGATTGGCTTAGCCAAGAGCAGACTTTCCTAGCCCGCAGGTGACAGAGGCTTTGTTTAGAGTTAGGACTCTGATTTCTCTTTGGGCTGCATGAGGGGTGCTCCAACTAGGCCTAATAACACAGAGACCTCACCCACTGAACCCCTTCAGCATCAGGCACGAGCAGGAAGGGGTGGGATGGGGTGAAGAAGCCATCTTTCCCCTTCTGCAGTTTAGACTCTCTAATGACCCCTGGCATAGAGAAAACCAAAGTAATGTCAAAGAGACAGACAAGTGTCCACTCAGATGCGATGTGGGAGACAGTAATCACCACTACAACTTAATGAGTGCCTATCATGTACCAAACGTCTTATATCCTAACCATAGTCTTAGGAGATCAATATTATTATTCCCATTTCACAGATGGGAAGGCTGAGCCTTTGGGCAACTAAGTAGAAATAACTACTAACTTGAGGGGTTGTCGTAAGGATTAAATAAGAGACTCCCTAGTGGTTTCTGTAACTCAAGAGATGCTATTTGAATTCCACCTCTTCATCTTACTTGCTGTGTGACCTTGAGAAAGTCACTTAACCTCTCTGGGCATCACCTCCCTTCTTTGTAAAATGAAGCTTTGGAATAGGTAACCTTAGTATTCGCTGTTCTTTGTTTTCACTTCGGTTCCAGGATGACCAGACCCCACTTCACTGTGCAGCTCGCATTGGCCATACAAATATGGTGAAGCTCCTGCTAGAAAATAATGCCAACCCCAACCTGGCCACCACTGCTGGGCACACACCCCTGCACATTGCAGCCCGAGAGGGCCACGTGGAAACAGTCCTGGCCCTTCTGGAAAATGAAGCCTCCCAGGCATGCATGACCAAGGTACAGCCTCCCTCCTCCTGTTCTCTGGCGGTGGTTAGCACGGGCCAGTCACTGCTGGGCCTGGGGCGAGGGAGGGGCATTCCCATCTGATCCTCTGTGTTGCCTCAGTTTTGCTGAAAGCAGCTGGGCAGGCCAGCACCCACAGGACTGGCCACCATCTGGGGCCCTGATACATCATAGTTCTGCCTTTCTGCTCCCAGAAAGGGGGTGAACTGTAGTTTCTCATTCACCCACCCAGCCTTCAAAGATCCTTTTATCTTGGAATCGTTATTTGCTCAGTGTCTGCTCTAGACAAATCAAACAGGTTCTGAGATACAAGAAGGAGTGAGACTCAATCCCTGCCCTCAACAAGCTAGAGGTCGAATCACAATAAAAGATGGTTTTATGCTCACCACAAGAGGTGCGGGTGGCAGGTGGGAGAGGAAGCCTGCTGATTCCTGAGGTCTCGGCCTCTCGGAGGGGTCAGAAATTCTGTGCCCTTTATTTGACGGGCGTCTCCATGCCTGTTAAGGTGGGACACCTCCTTTGCCATGGGCCCTTGCTCCAGGGAAGACAGCTGTGGCTCCCATGGTCCTGACAGCCTGTGTTTCTCCTCAGAAAGGATTTACCCCTCTCCATGTGGCGGCCAAGTATGGGAAAGTTCGGGTGGCAGAGGTGCTGCTGGAACGGGACGCACATCCTAATGCTGCCGGAAAAGTGAGTTTGAACTCGCCTTCCTCTCTCGGGTTAGAAGCTGGAACAGAAAATAAACTGTGCTGCTTGGGAAGAGCATCTCTTGCCTAAGCCCATTTTTTCCATTTTTTCAATGGGCGGCTATTTAGAGAGAATGACCTTTTGGAAGACTGGTCTTTCTGACAAAGGTTTTGACCTCTAGAAAGACCTGGTGGCCTGCTCCGAGCGGGTGTGCTGATTGCGCTGCCCCACTGGGCCCAGTAGGAGTGAGGAGGTGGCCCTGGGGCCAAGTGGTTATGCTCTTAATGACTTCTTTTTTTAANCTTTGACCTCTAGAAAGACCTGCTCCGAGCGGGTGTGCTGATTGCGCTGCCCCACTGGGCCCAGTAGGAGTGAGGAGGTGGCCCTGGGGCCAAGTGGTTATGCTCTTAATGACTTCTTTTTTTAAAATTTTTTTCTTTTTAATCTTCATCCAAGGATATTTTTTCAATTGCTTTTCAGAGAGAGTGGAAGGGAGACAGAAAGAGAGAAACATTGATGTGAGAGAGACACATCAATTGGTTGCCTCCTGCATGCTTCCTAACCAGGGCCGGGGATGGAGCCTGCAACCGAGGTATGAGACCTTGGCCGGAATCGAGCCCGGGACCCTTTAGTTCATGGGCTGATGCTAACCACTAAAACTGGCTAGGGCACCCTTACTGACTTCTGATCAAGATTGGTTCTGGAATGATTTTTAACCAGATTTTACCCGCATAAAAGAAGTGGCATGGATCCCAGAATGGTGCTGCTAAGGCTAAAGGGGTCACTAAATAGAAAGTCAGCTGAGTGAAGGCTGTTCTCTCTGTCGGTCTTACTCCCCTGCAGAATGGCCTGACTCCGCTGCACGTGGCCGTCCATCACAACCACCTGGACATCGTCAAGCTGCTGCTTCCCCGGGGTGGCTCCCCACACAGTCCTGCCTGGGTAAGCCTGCCCTGGTCCGCATGGCAGGGGCTCCTGGAGAGCTGGCCACTGCCACTCCTTCCAGGATGGTGTTCCAGAAGCAGCCAAAGGGCTTTGGTGTTTTGTTTTTATTTTTACCTCAGAAATCTCACGTCACTTTCACAAATGGTACCTGCAGTACAATCGCCGCTATTTGGGGACCAGGAGTGGGGTGGGAAGTGGGTAACACTTCTTAGCATCAGGTTACCTCACAGAGGTGGATTCCTTTTACACAACAAATGTGTCCCTGAAGTGCCTGGTGTCAGCTGAGCCTTATACACGGGCTGTCCAAGGTCAGCACGCACAGGAACCATCAGCCTCGTTCTCCGATTCCAGCACCATGGCCACGCGCTGAGAAATAGTCAGGGCTGGGGGTGAACTTGCCGGAACCTTGAAGCAAGGGACCTATTTTGAATGTGAATAGTCATCGCAGATCTGTCTCTCTTATGAGTTAAGCCTTTGAGATCATGATGTTTTTAACAAGGCACACCCACCAATGTTACATAGTAGACACACGTCCAGTGTGCTGGCCTCATGCAGCCTCTGAAACATGCTGCTCAGGGCAGCAGCTTCATGACCACTTAAGGGAACCCGAGTAAAAGGAGCTGACTGGGCTCGATTATGTAAGACCAGGCTGGCAGGTGGGGGTGGGTAATACAAGGTGTCGGGATGAAGCGGGACAGAGGATCATTTTTGGAGACAGGCTGCCCCCTGTGGACAGAAGGGTGCACAGTGTTTGTCTGGGAAGAGAGGGTCACTGTGGGGCTGGTGGCCCTCCATAGGAGGAGGGGCCAGGGCTTGAATATGGACACAGACAATCCCTGCTTTCTGGAGCTCACCATCCACCATCCGATAGGGCAGCCAAGACTCAGAAGGATAATTCCTGGGAGAGCAAACCCCAGTGCTCAGCCAGGGGCAGGAGTCTGAGTGCTGCCTTTGAGGAGGGAGCTGTCAGGGTGGGTGGGATGCCCTTCCAGCTGATACCTGCTGGCTTCATGGGTGCACGGCCCAGCCAGGGAAAATCAGTGTGGGCCTTCAGTTCGTCTTCCCTCCTTGGAATGGATGCTCATCTGAATTTTACAGCCTCTCTTTCCTGCAGACACGGTGCCTCCTAGCTGCCCCTGTCTCCTTGGGCTCCTGTCCCTGCCACTGTTGTAGCAAAGCCCACGTCACTGTGTAGACAGAGCATGCGGCGCTGCTGAGACGAGACTTACTCCCGCATCTAAAAATAAAAAGCTGGACTCGCCTCCTCCTCGCACCCCTCCTTGTATAAAGGAAATCAGAGCCAGGTTCCTGGTATTTAAAGAGAGATTTATCCAAGCACAAATGCTGTACAGATGGGTTTTGTTTCCATGGCAAAAAATAGTTTACCAAGTCGTCTGGCAATTTTGTAGAATTTCACATGCAAATTTCTCTGCACCCAAACCAAACCCTCCCCTTTCTAATTTTGGTGCTAATGTTGTTTTAACATTTCAGCAGATCTCTCTTCAGTGTGTGTGCCTTTGTGTGAGCTCATTTGCTTGGGAAAGCAGAGCCTTTTGTTGGCACCTAACCCTCCCTAACCCCTCCCTGACTGTCCTGCCTCCTTGCACCTTGCTCGTCAGTCACCCACAGGTCATTCATTACCTGCATTCCTGGTTTGGGGGAAGCTCAGAGGCGCGGTCCCTGTTCTGAGATTAACAGTTGTATCTCAGCTTTAACCAGGGTCACCTGGCAGCCAGAGCCACCTCCAGGGCCAGCTTGCCCTTTGGCGGGACAGGGTGCTATCCTTGCCAGTGTGACATCACAACTGCCCGAGAGGCCTGGGACTCCTGATTATAATTCCATGAATATACCTCGAATTGTTCGAGTTACTGTCCTTCATAAATGAAAAGAAGTCCTAGTAATCGTTGCTTTTATGCAGTCAATGCCTCTGTGGGCCAGGTACCAGCTAGGTGCTCAGCTGCCTCGTCTCATCCATCCTGACAGCTGTACTGAGTAGACAGCCTCTGAGACTCATCTTAGGACGATCTACGTTTAGGGACTGCTCCAAATCTCAGGCTTGATCCACTGAACCATGCCTCTTTTCTTTACTCTTTTTCACTACAGTACAACATTCATTTTGTTTAATTAACTTTATTATAGTTAAAATGCCGATCTTGTTATGGGAAAACAACCTACAAAGAAGAATTTAATGTTTTCTCATAACATAATCAAATCAAAAAGGAGAAGCACACCAATGAATTATCTTATATAATTATTTAAAGGGAATGATTTTTTAAGTTTAATTTAATTCTTTGGGTAAGTTACAACTTTTAATTTCTCCATAAAATCCACTTGGCAGATGGCTCTGCCCCTGACCCCTAGTGCTCTAAAACTGGGATTTGACTGTAGTGGTCAGCCCCTTTTTCCTGTTTCCTGTTTCTGATCAGTGATCCTGGCAGAATCAGAAAGGTTGGTTTCCCCAGTAAGATAGTGGTTGGCAGGGGAGCCTCAGTTCTCTGGGATAGCATGAAGCATGCTGGCCAGGGTCAGGACACCATATGCCTTATGCCATCTGCTCTGGGGCTCGGTGGGCATGTGCTTAGAAAGTCATGGGTCCTGCTCAGGGGTCCTCAGGCCTGGCAACCCCCTTGGCCCTGCTTTGGGACCTGGATACTCAAAGTGCAGGGAAAGAAGAGGGGGCCTGCTCTTTTTTTTTTTTTTTTT